TTCCACTCTGGGATCACACAATCATCCAGTGCAATCTAACCTAAATAGCAACCACACTGATAAGCACACCTTTTAATAAAGCAAAAACATCTATAACAGCAACCAATCCCAGGCAAAGAGACCTCCATGACTTTTTGACTCTGTCATAACCATAGTGGCGTTGTGTTGTAGTGTTTGCAGATATAGTCATGTTCAAAATCATGGACAAGGCCGACAGAATGGAGAGACAGAGAGACAACGATAACTGTAGACCCCACACACACAGCCCGCAGGCTCCAGCTGTACTTCCTCATTATCAGATAAAGCGTGTGTTTGTGTCTGAATGAGAGATCTCTATCACCACCTTTGCACATAAGTGGATCAAATATGGATCAGCTTAAAATACTTCCCAAGAGATCATCGTAAATTCTAGCTGGAGAAGTGGGTTGGGACAAAAGCTAGTAAAGCAGCCTTACCTACACAGGTTCTGCCATCTGCGTGCAGCGTGTACCTGGCGTGACACCTGCAGATGGGCCCCTGCTCTGTGTCTTCACAGATGTGCTGGCAGCCCCCGTTGCCATGGTTACAGGTCACTATGCAACAGAACACAAACAGCATCACATCAACAGCTCCAGTGAGTCGTCCTGTGGTATTTCTCAGCTTGACGGTGGGTCAGAAATGTGAGTCACACGTACGGATGCAGCCCCGCTGGTTCTTGGCCAGTTCAAAGCCCGGCCGGCACTCACAGGCGACGCCACCTTTGGGTGTTTCCTTACAGATGTGAGCACAGCCGTGTTCTTTATTCATGCAGCTCATGCCTTCTGTGAAGAAGAGATACGGTCAAAGAGCCTGCAACACTTATTTTAGGTATTACATAAATGTATTGATATTTTAGAGAAATATTCTGGGATAACTTCAAATTAAGCTCTGTGGCGTTCTGTCGATTACCGCAGAAAATCATTTTGACTCAACAGATCATGACTTCACAGCTCATCTGTGGTCAGTATTTAATGAAATACTCCTTTAATGGCATATTGATTGGATATTTCACCCCAAGATGAAAATTCTGTCATCATTTACTCACCCTCATGTTGTTCCAAAACCTGACTTTCTTTCTTCTGCGGAACACAAAAGAAGATATTTTGAAGAACATTGGTAACCAAACTATTTTGGCAACCATTGACTTCCATAGTATGGACCCAAAAAAAAACAAAAAAACATTTCAAAATATCTTCTTTTATGAAAGAAAGAAAGTCATAGAGGTTTGGAAAGACATGAGGGTGAGTACATGATAGATTTATTTATTATTTTTGGGTAACCAATCCCTTTAACATCAAATCTCTGCTCTATTTGCTTTAATGAAACAAATATAATACATAATAAAATAATTTGATTTTGCCAACTGTGAAACCAACTGAAACCGTAGGCAGATGATATAAATAAATAAATAATTATATATAAATATATAAAATCAAATGAGTATAATATAAAATCTAAGGCCAAATTTATTGGTTACGTAATGACCTATACATCCCTAATTAAATTAATAGCAACAGTACATTAGTTAATCTTTACATTCCTAATCAGTATAAGAGAGGAAATGATTATTATTATATGTAATATTAGGCTACCTGTTGTTAAAACTCTCATCAAATTCAACGACATTTAATGCCACACAACCTGACCTGACATCAATAGCAGGTCTATGGGTCAGTGTAGAGGGCCTTTCCTCCCATTCACACTGCAGCTCAGTGGATGTGCTGATAGGATTTAGCAAGTTTACCCAGAGGAAGCAAATGAGGTGGAAAGCCTTGCAAACCTTAGCTCAATTTACTGAGGGGAAAACAATACTCGCCGCTGAGAAGCTACAGACACATAAAAAGGTTTTTTTATTCTCATCTATGACACAGGCCACAAAGCCCTGAGTGTTGCAGTTATTAACTTGTTTTGTTCCTCTGAACATGGGGCTCCCTTTCCCACAGCATGGGCCCTTTGGAACTGAACCGCTGTAGATAATGCCCCGGAGAGGGAACCCAACTTAAAAGCTGTCATTCGCCATTGTGCTGTCAATCATGATCTTATGTGAGAACATTTAGAAATTAGGTTGGCTTTCCTTTGCACTTACCCCCCTGACTTAGTGCACTGACATCTCTGCAAATACACACTCTACTAAACAACACAAGCCTCTCGTGACGCACTTTTGACAACCAAGTTCGTGACAAACTTGAAAATGAATGAACCCGAAATGTCCATCAAGACTGAGATTTTCACCTGACCATTTTTGAATCGTGTTCACATCACATATAGAGAAACCAGATGAATACACTCTGATACCTGGGTTGTTCAATATGATGGTGAACATGGTAGACTGAGCCATTAAAGGTTTGTTAAAAGCAGCGGCTCACCCACGGAGCGATGGATGCATGTGTGTTGATTGTCACTCAGGAAAAAGCCTTCCTTGCAGCAGCACTCATAGCTTCCCATGGTGTTGACACATACATGCTGACAGCCACCATTGTTGAAGACACATTCATCCACATCTAGAGACAGAGTATGTTTAAGCATCACAAAACACCACGTTTACAAATACCTCAATAACTTTGGCAAAGTCATTTGGTCAAAGTCATCAGACTGGGTTATGTGGATATTGCAAGTAGCCCTACAGTACAAGTATACTGTCTGTTCCAAAACACTTGTAGTATGTAGTGAGAATAACTCATCCCATGCGATCATTAACCTTTGCCCCTCGCACATGTATATGTGATTTCTTCGTGGACTTCTACTTACCGAGACAGTTGTGTCCATCGTGTGCCAAATGAAACCCATCAAGGCAAGTACAGCGGTAATTGCCGGGTATGTTGTTACATTCGTGTACACAGCCACCATTGTATTCCAGATCACATTCATCAATGTCTAGGAAATGGAACAGAAATCAAGGCTGACCAGTGTTTGCAATTTCTGCATTTTAGGGGCACTGCTCTTCCGATACAACTTTTAAAATGTTGAAAAAGCTATTTGAAAGAAAGGAAACATGAATGTGCTCCTTTAAATTAAAATACAACACAGTTGCATACTCAATTAGTAGCGTGTAATAAAATCAAATAAAATAAAATAAAAAAAACTTTACTCCAAAAACAAACTATTTAAATGCTCAGTTGCATATGTGTTTAGCATATGAACAATAATTTAAAAAGTGAGGTTTTCCAGATTACAGGTCTAGTCCACTGTCTGTTAAGCTGAAGAGAAAGGGAGCTGTTACCTTCACAGTGTGTCCCGTCCCCTTTAAAGCCTGTTTTACAAGTGCACTTGTATGAAGTTGGGGTATTTTGACAAATAGCATCAATGTGACAGGCATCGCTTCCCTCTGCACATTGATCTGAATCTGTGGATCACAAATGTAACATGAGACTTTACAGTAATAGCTCACTTTGTTATATTAATGTTCCCTTAGCAGTGTGATAATGAACTGCTAAATGTTTAATTATTTGTGGTGTTGCTTTTAAAATAAACTTTGTATTTTTTCTGACTGCAGTGATTACAGTAACATGTGTAAAACACAAACACATAATATAAATTCAATTCAATTCAAATTTATTTGTATAGCGCTTTCACAATACATAACCAAAAGCAGCTTTACAGAAAGTGCATTTCAGAAATGTACATAGAAAAATATAAAGTGCTACGCAAAAACATTTAAAGAAATGTCAGGAAAATCCTTAACACGTATTCTAAAATGTGTGTTTTAGTGCTGAAGTAAAAGTAAAGAAACAGGGTATCAAAACAAGGGGAGGTAAACAAGTTGCGTGTTTACAGCATCGCGTGTAACAAAGTGAAGACTCTTACCAGTGTTGTGAAGAAGTGCGGCGCTTTGGCGAGTATTTAACAAGAGCAAAAACAAACAGAGGAGTCGTGCAGTCCAAACAGCTCCCATAGTGATCAGTTCAGAGTTTAGAGTCGAACTCAATAACACGCATTTACTCAAACACGAGTATCCCACTCATTTTCATCCGCACTTTGTCAGTGGCTTCGCGCTTGTGAGCGCTTCAACAGAAGATGTGTGCAAGAGAGTGAGCGCGCGCCCGTGTGCGTGTGTGTGTGTGTGTGTGTGTGAAAAAGGGCCTTTTCTGTCTCTCTCCATGATTCTGTGTCGGGGGATGGGGTGTTAGCGCATTCACACAGAAGTGTTTCTTTTATTGATCTCCAAGAGCCTTGTGGATTGAATCGATTTTAATTTCACAGAATAAAATAGGACAATTTTTTTTTATAAACTCAAGACTAGCATATTACATTACAATATAGTTATTTATAGTGTTAACATGTGTGTGGTTCACTTTTAAAATAACACAATTTCATAGGCTAGCTTGGTTGACTACTTCAATGTTTCATCAAACGATACAAAAATTACAGTAGCCTAGTCCTGTAATAAAGATTTGGCCATGGCCTTGGTCAGCCAAGTGAATTTTAGTTGGCTATAATATGTGTTAGTGTGAATTTTTGATATTGAGTGGGATAGTAATTAAATTTTTCAAATACAAGATCTGTAATTACAGATCTTGGGGAAAAGTTGCACAACCCTAACACAAACCAACCCCCAATATTTTCATATGATGTAAAATAAATCTTAAAATTAATGTCGTTTTACTCTGCCAGTATGAGAGACTTCGTTATGAAATCATTATAAATATATTATAATCATGTAGCCTAATTATAATATAGACAGATACTTTAAAATTATATTGGTTTTTCATTAAAGTGTGTTCCTAAAGTTCAGAAAAGGCCTTGATTGATAAAATACCCGAGGATAATATTATGTTAAGTTGTTAAAAACAGTAGCCGCGATCCAAGGATTTCGAGTGGATTTCAAGTCAACCTTTAATTAAACCCAATTAAACCGCGACCTCTGCAGGCGGTTAATTGCAACAATATGCATGGGGACATACCGATACCCTTTACATTTAAGAAACTCCACGCCGCAGTGTGGCGCTACTGTTCCTCAATTTGATGGTCAATAAAACCGCCAAACGAGAAAAAACGAGTGAAAAGGAAGAAAGGCAGGATACAGCGCAGGTTGTTGTTGTTACTGGCTGGCTCGTGTATTTGTTTGTCTGCCATCTGAAATATCTCCGTGGTGACACAACAGACGTGTCTTTACCGAAATGGACCCGAGCACGACCATTCTGCGGGTGAAGAGGAAGAGAGGTACTGATCCAGCGGACGCGCTGCTGCTGGCCTGTAAGCGGATCCGTCCGGAGGCCACGGCGGCTCAACCCAGCGATGAAAGTGAACCAGAACCCCAGGAGCCTAAGATAGAGAACTCTGTGTTCAAACTAGTAGCCACCGTGGTGTCACAGGTAATGACTATACGGCAGCTGCTGTGCCGTCAGGACAGGAGAAACGAAATCTAGTGCTCTCTGAGAGATTGTATTGTTTTTGGTGGTCATTGATGACGTAAAGACGTCATGACTTGTCAAATGCGCTTGTCAAAAATCTTTGTTTTTACCTTGTTTGTTACATTTGAGGTTCGTGCAGATGTTCTTTAACCGCCTCCGTGTACAATATAATTCCTTAACAATATAAAAAATGTGCTTGTAAAAATTAGGTAACAGTGTTTGAAATAGTGAAATTACACGTGTTTATGCTTGATGTTACCCATTGTAGACCATGGATGGCTTGATTGATAGATCCATTGATGGATAAATGGATGGATTGATAGACAAGTATGAAATTAAGTCTAGACTTACGTTCAGAATAATTGTCAAATTGCTGTGGTTAAATTTATATAATCACAATTCTTGTCGGTTTCAATATTTTCAATATATATCAATTATTTTTATAGGATGCTCCGGTTCAGCCACATGTCCGTGAAGCTCTGTCACGTCCACGTCTGGCCCATCATGCCTTGCGGCCATCACAAGGGAGCTCTCAGAGGATCATTGGTGATCTGCGCAGTGTCAAATGGAGCACCAGGCGAGAGGAACGGTACCGGATCCTGTCCAGCCACAGGGCCGGACTGCCAACAGAGCCTACACCTGCAAGAGTAGGAGAGGAGAACGATGACAGCCAAACAGAGAACCGTGACAACCTGGATTTGGGAGAAGTGCAAGTGTTTGATATTGTGCATGAGGATGGTGATGTCAAGGTGCCTGGCAAGGTAAAGCCAGAAGATTTTATTCATCAGTTTCTGTCAATAGAAAAAATGTACAAAATCACAAACAAATGTAGTTTAAGAACCCCTCATTCTTATTAATATTTTCTTTTTATTCGTATTTGAAGTTTGAACACAGCTACTTGTTTATGATATCACTATTTTCAACATTTACTTATTTTATAATAATAACAACAACAACCTCATACCAGTATCCACCCTTAGTCTTTGCATTTTCTCAGCCAACTTCATGCAATATGCAAAAAAGAAATTCATAATAAAAAGAAGTCATAATTTACTTGCCCTCTTGTCATTCCAAATGTGTAAGACTTTCGTTCATCTTCAGAACACAAATTAAGATGTTTTTAAGTAAGTTCTGTTTTCTCCATTGACAGCTATGTAACTACCATTTTGATGCTTCAAAAAGTTCATAAAGGGATCGTAAAACTAATCCATATGAATCTAGTGGTTTAGTCCAAATTTTCTGAAGAGACACGATCACTTTATATGATGAACAGATTGGATATGAATTTCTCTATGAACTTTTTGAAGTGTCAAATTGTCAGTTGCGTAGCTGTCTATGAAGAGACAGAAATCGCTCAGATTTTATCAAAAAGATCTTAATTTGTGTTGAACGAAGGTTTTACGGAGTTGGAACAACATTTTTGGGTGAACTTATCCTTTAAATACTTTTTTAACCTCATTGAATATACGTTTTGGCTACATTTTCTTTTACCATCTGTTTCTTTTAACTCGTTGATTAAAAAAAATCAGAAGTTTTATCAATTTAGTTTGTGAAGAAATATGTATTCACAATTTACACTGGTCTACAAAAGTAATTAAGCAGAAGCTTATGACTCGTATCCCCTTATTAAAATGACAAAGTTGAAATTTTCTTTTTCCTCAGACTGTTGTGTCTGACCCGGAGACAATCCTGTGTAACTCTGTGAAGATGATTCGTGAGAAGCTGAGTGTGTCAGGAGATGGACTCGGTATTGAACATCGAGAGAAAGAGGATGATTACGTGTACGACTTGTATTACCAAGAGACGGCCACACCAGGCTGGATCCAAGACATTCTGTCTGTCAGACCGTACGCACAAGAGGGAGAGCTGGTTCGTTGCAGTGTTACTTTAGTATTATCTTAGTTTTTATTCATATTTTGGATTAACTTTTATTCTTATATCCATTCTTGATTTAATTTTTTTTAAATATTACTATTCAGCTTTAATTTATTACGTTTTATTTAAAACTAAGCCTGGTTAGTTGAAGATCTATTTTATCTTTGCACAAACTCATTTGTCTTTTTCTCTTTGAATACACAGGTCCCTGATGTAGTGGCCTGGGAGGAAGAGGTGTATGAAGATGAAGATGATGAGAACGCTGAAACCAACTGGAGAAATGACTACCCAGATGAGAGCAGTGAGGGTGACAGTGATGCAGAGGAGCGATATGGAGGTCACACACCTAAGCTATTATACTTGCTTCTTTTCTGAAATTTTTAAAAGCTCATCTATCCCTAGATATTATGACATTAAAAAGAGCATAAACTTAAGTTTAAACAAAAAAAAAATTAGCGTCAACTGCTTTATCAAATGGCATATAATATATTGAATGTATTTTTCGGTCCAGGTTTCTGGAGTGAAGAGCACTCGTATAGCAGGAGGAGCTGGGAATGCTACCGGCAGGACACGATGCAGGAGTTGGAGAATGACAAAGATAAGGATGTTGATGAGGAGGAACGAGAGTATAACGATTCTGACTGAGAGCCTCCGTGTGTTGTAACAAGCATGAGAGGCCATTTTTACTGACGTGTGTTGAGTGAAGCTGTATGTTCTTTTGTCAAAAGTGAATGTATGTGGTAGCCCATGTGTGTGTACTTGTGTGGGTTGCTTTGACGTGCGCGTTAGTGAGATGAGTGATTTACTATTTGCAATATTTTGCGATTGTTTGACGTGAAGATAGTATGGGGAGAAAATGGTGATTATTTGAGTTTGTGTAAGTGTGGGGTGCTTTGTGTTGTCAGTTATGTGTGTAGTGTTTGTAAGTTCCCCTTATCCAAAGGGGTGAAAAACAACATACCTGTAAATATGTAGATGTGTATAAAAAAAAAATAAAGACTTCAGAATTAAGCTGAAAATCTTTTGAATTATTTAATTTATTCAAACAGTTCATGTCTGGTAGAAAAAAAAGTATTATTGATACTCTTTGAAATAAATTAATAGAAACACTTGTACAAATAACAAACAGTTTGAAAGTGTGGTTTCAGTGTGTGTCACGCTACAAGGCAAACCTTAACAGAATAACCTGTTTAAATTACTTCTGGACTTGCATCCTGAGTTAACTGGGATTTTTTACTGGCTGATGGACTTTTAAAGCTGATTTTATAGAAACCCATCGTACTTAGTATTGTAAATGGAGAAAATGAATTCATTTAAAGAATTGTTTTTTAAAAAAAAATCTGGAATACCATTTGAAGTTAACAGAATTTGAAAAATACAGATAATAAATATCCAAACTTGCAACAGATGCATTTAAAAAACATTCCTAGTTTGAGTCGACAAATGTTTCCAGCACATCTGATGTACTCTTCATCTTTATTCTTACCTAGCCTCTTCTACAAGTGAATGTGATGCTTCATTACATGTACAGCAGCATAGCAGCAGATTTGAACGTTCAACTGTGTACAATCACCTTCCCCCTAAAAACCAGTTAAGGAATGTGGGCAATTATACAGGACTGACCTCTGGCCAACTCCGAAAACAAAAAAGTATATATAAAAGAACTGACATTTGTGCAAAAGGAAATCACGAAGAGGAAGATGAAAATAAAATATTTTTTTCTTAAAAAAGGTGTATAAATTAATTGACAAATTGTAAAGACTAGATTCTAAAATAAAAGCATGTTAGATGAACAGGGTGGAAAATGTTACATAAATAATCTAATTCAGGAATACAGATAGTGTTTGCATCATGTGTGTGTGCTGGTACCATTATGAACCTTTAAAATGGCCTTTATTTTCATGCCATATGGTTCATAAGGTTGTATTCCTAATACTGCAGTGCACCGTGACCTTAACCGACACCTTAAAATTAAAATCCAAATGCAGTGACATAAGGAGTGCATCTGTGTCTTAAAGTGTGGAAGATCTTTTTCCCTTATCTCCAGATATTGGTTTCCTCTTCCTGAAGTTTGTGGGTCAGAGGAGTGCAAGTGTTCTAATCAACGGTGTCCATCTCGGTGAGCACACAAAAGCATGTGAACTGGGTGAAACGGGTGATGGCATCTGTGTAAGGGAGACACATGTTAAAGTTCCCACGAAATCAAAATAATATTTGTATATTATTTATTATAAATTATTTATAATAATTGCCCTTGTATTATTTAATCAAAATAACTTCCTCTCCCTCTTACAACATCTCTTTTTCTGATGGCGGGACAACCTGTCACTCACATGAGATCACAGAAATATCACAGAAGCCGTTTCACTCGAATATACGTCACAATAGGGAAGAAAAGACTATTACAACTTCCGCTTCATGCCAACTTTATATACGATCACTGCCACTGTCATTTTGACTCTGAATTTGTAAACAAATGAAAGGTTTAGTGCTAAAATCTGTGGTACTTACTTAGTAATTTAGTGATGATGGGTGGGCGCTTAGACTCCGGAAGATAGATACCCAAGAAGTAAACAGGAACTCCAGAGAGGGCAATAGCAATTCCAATGAGGGAGTTGAGTGTGTCAGAATAAAGTGGCACAGCCACTAGGAACACAACACACATGCAGAAGATGATGGGATACAGCAGACTCAACTGATCGCACACAAACATGGAAGAGAAGAGAGGAAAACAACATTTTATTTCACATTCAATGTCCCATTTCAAATTGCACCTGATTTCTATCTTCCCTTCTTTTAACAACAGATATTCCATTTAAGTTTCTGAACCAGTCCTAACTAACCTGTTTTTTACACTTACATTGAAAAGTTTGGGGTCATTTTGAAAGATTTTACATTTTTAAGATTTTAAAATATTTTTTTCTTTTTGCTCACCAAAATCGTATTGCTCGCCAAGGCTGCATTTATTTTTTAAAAAAGAAAAAGAAAGTAAAAACAGAAATACAATTTAAAATAACCGTTTTCTATTTGAATATATTTTAAAATGTAATTTATTCCTGTGATAGCAAAGCTGAAATTTCAGCATCATTACTCCAGTCTTCAGTGTCACATGATCCTTACGAAATCATTCTAATACGCTGATTTGGTTCTGCAGTAACATTTGTTATCAATGTTGATAACAAATGTAACAGATGTGCTGCTTAGTATATTTTTGTGGAAGCCATGATATATTTTTGGGATTCTTTGATTCTAAAGTTAGTTTAAAAGAACCACGTTTATTTGTAACATTACACTAGCTTTACTGTCACCTTTGACCAATTTAATGTGCCCTTGCTGATTTAAAGTATTAATGCTAAATAAAAGTATTTCAAATAAATCTTCCTAACCCCAAGCTTTTGAATATAGTGCATATAATAGTAGGCTATAGTTATTTGTAACAGGTTTATGTGTGCACAATGACAGATCACACACTTCTTCATGTTATTGTTAAGTTATGAAGGTGCATTTTTTCCCCCATCTGTACAGTCTCTACTGCCTCACCTTCAGTGGTCGGGGCCTGTCTGGCTCCTTCCAGCGAAGGTAGATCTGCCCGGCGATAGACAGGCCAACGAAAAACCAGTAACTGAAGCTGTAATAGTTAATCAGCTGGAAAACATCCTCCACTGCAAGGTAGATCAGAGCCATGGCACACTGCAGACAGAAAGCACAACCTTAGTTACTTGATCCACTAGATGGAGACAGAAAACCTCAAACATCCCAGACTGTGAGATGCACAGTAATAGAAGGTTTAAAAACTTATATATAAAATAAATCATTTTAAATAGGGCAAAAAAAGTGTCACAGAAAAAGTCTCTCTGATAAAGTGAGAATGTTAAGATGCATTAGGCGTTAAAAGTGTAACTGAAATGTACTTGCGTTAAAAGTGTAACTGAAATGTACTTGCGTTAAATAGCAGTGCAGGAACTGGTGTGAATCTCTGCAGATGAATCATGGACAAAGCATCTGGAAGATGACCTTCTCGAGCTCCCACGAAGAACAATCTGCAGCAGCAAGAGACTTGCTTCATTCAAATGCACCCAAGAAGGGTTATTAAGTTAACTTAAAATAAATGTGAACTTAAATCAAATTAAATATAAAACACACACACAATTTTTTATTTTTTTTTTAGCTTGTTGCCACAGGCAACATTTCTCATTTTAAATTTAGATTAACTTGATGTCTAAAATAACAAACTGAAATAAAATAAAAACTATAGACATTTTTTTTAAATCCTAAAAATGACAAAAACACCACAAAAGCACTAAAATTCAATTGAAAACATCTTATAGTGATAGTGAAATAGCACTGCACCTAATCAAAGTGCTGAGAAAGCAAACCAATTATATAATTGCTCACAAAAAAAAAATGTGTTTGCATTTTTCATGACAATTATCTTCATACTAATATGCTCGCACATTAATGACCTAAAAGCAAAATCTATTTTATTTGAAGATTTCATGCAAATATATCATACATGAAACTGGGTTCCCAAAGCATCTGAATTCCCATCAACACTGCATTTATTTTCTCAACACTCCCAAAATTTCTCAACACTCCTCAGATCTCATTATCTTACACATGGAATAGTGGCAGGCCCCCCACACAGTCATTACCAGAAAGCTGCTCCAGATGGTGTGAGCAATTGAGTAGCTTCCTATAAAAACCACAGGAGCTGAACTAAGCTCTGTTCCTCCTCCTGGAGGTTAACACCAGTCATTAAGAATACACTTGAAGAACAAAACAGAACCTTTAAGTGGAATAATACAACTATAAAGCCACTGCAATTGTACAGGAGCATTTTCAAAGTAGATAATTCCAACACAGCTCCCAATCAGTCTCTTTAGACTATAAAAATAGAATGGACTTAAAGGGCCAGTTCACCCAAAAATGAAAATTCTGTCAAATTCTGTTAAAGATTTGAATAGTCACCCTCAAGTTGTTCCAAATATGTATGAGTTTCTTTCTTCTGCTGAACACAAAAAGATATTTTGAAGAATATGGGTAACCAAAAAGTTGATGGAACCCATTAACTTCCATAGAATGGAAAAATACAACAAATGATGACAGAAATTTAATTTTTTGGGTGAACTAGCCCTTTAAGTTAAATTCTTCATGATGGTGTGTTGAAATCAACAAAGCCACTTGAAGGCAAGCCTGCAACCTTAGCTGAAAAAAAGCATAACACCTGCAAACGATGTGGTACACAGAACAGACAAAAGGCCGTTTTTTTATGGATGTTAATGGGGGAGATGCTTCACTATGCTGAATAAACCGCTTTTGTGAGGAAATAAATTATTTAATGAACTATTTAATGAATATTTAGTGATTGGTTACCAAGGCACACGTGATCCAAGTTAAAGGGGTTGTCTAATGCTATTTCATGCATTCTGACTTATTCACGCTGTTAAAGAGTTGGATTCTCATGCTAAACATGGCCAAAGTTTCAAAAAATGAGTTGGGCCCTGTCCCAAATGGCACACTCCGGACTTGTGGACTTCCTCAGAGTCCACACTTCGGTGATGTCATGTAGTGCAGACCTATAGGGCCCTTAGCGCGAGTCCGCGAGGGCGCATTGAGAGGTATTTTTGGGACAGACTCGATCCTCACGCTGGAAACAGGAAGACGGTCTGATTGTTGTTATGGACAGGAGCTACAGGTTCGGGGAAATATGCTGCCTATTGTTGTTATGTTTACATATGACTCAGTACAGCCCTGACATTCTGTTCTATTTGTTTAATGAATCATAATGCGATCGTATTATTCAGCTCGCTATTATTAGCCTATGTTTGAGACATCAACCACTGGTCGATGATCATAATGTTTGTATAAACTTGTCATATAAACCGTAATGATAATCACACTTAAATATTTTCTCCTCAGCCATGTTAATAATTGTCCGTGAGCGAAATCTCCTCCCATCCGTTGTCTGATTGGCCTTTCGCTTCAAGGGTACGAAGGGGGCGCTGCTGAGCACACTTCAGAGCGTTAAAATACTAAATGGGACGGCCTACGGACTCGTAGACTCGGCGAGCACGCGCAATTTAAGTCCACGAGACCGAAAGTCCGCATGAAGTGCGCCATTTGGGGCAGGGCCATGGACGTATGACGGAGTAGTTCTGTGCCAAACACACTCCTTCAGGATTCGTATAAGTTTCGGAAAGTTTTTTTCGGGTATGGCCCTGTATGACGTCAAAAAGGGCGGAATTCCTTTTATGGGAACTTCTCCTGGAAGAGCGCGTGCGGTTTGTCATCCGCCAATAAAATTTCAAAGAAGAAGAGCATGTCCACACATTAAAGCTGCAGTAGGGAGTTTTGAGAAAACGTTGACTTAGCCTGAAAATTTGAACAAGCACAACTTACAGGTCCCACCCCCTTGCTCTCTGCTGCGCTACAGCCCTCCCTCCACAGCTCGTCCTCCACAGCGGAGCCTGTCGTGAACGCGCAGGCTAGTAAACAGGGCCACCCATAACGGCGGATAAAAAGTTATATGGCACATTCACTAATAGGGACTAAACGTCAACAATATGCTTTACATTGACTATGGCCTGCCCATACTTTGACTACAAACTTGGTCCTCAAATCATTATGTATTTTGCAATAGCCTACATGTAACTTTATAACGTTGCACTCTTTCTATAAGTTATAAATAGCTAGTAAGATAACGTTAATATAACGGTAACTAACGTTACAGTATGCAAGTAATTATTCTAGCGATATATAATGCTAGATAAGGTGTGCTAGTACATTATTTCAGCAACATGACAAGCCAGTGAATTAGCAGGTTTCAATTGTTGCTTAGCAGAGTGCGTGACATTTTATCTACATGTTATGCGGCTAGAGTTTTGACACCGAGTCAATGGGCTCTGTGTAATTCTTTCTTTTTCGCTTGTTTATCGTCATCGGTCTTTTTCCTTTTACCTCTTTGTTTTATGAGCAGGTGTCACTCGAGAATTGGCAGTTTTTTAGGTTGTTTCTCCGTCATAAGCACAGCTGCAGCACGCCGGCAATCTTGAGTTTGAACGACGGCTCGCGCTCCGGCGCTCGCGCTGTGCAAGAGAGGGGTGTGATCAGCGCGTACACGAGCGTGACTGACAGTGCTAAGACGGATGGAGAGAGGAATCACCCCGACTGAATGTCTCGCCAGCGGGCACGACCTCCCATGGCTAACCTGGAAGACCCTCAACAGATTACGAGTGGAACAGGGGAGGTGCAATGCACTTATGAAAACATGGAACCACCAGACAGACGACACATGTAGCTGCGGAGCAGTACAGACAATGCCCCATCTACTGGAGTGTAAAAACGCCCCTCAGTGCAGCGCCCAGGACCTGGCTGAACCGACCACATCAGCTGTGATCTGCGCCAGATATTGGCAGAACGACATTTGAGATTGCAACGGACTCGAAGAAGAAGTGCTAAGACACTCCTCCTGGCTCTGATTGGTTGTTTCTGACCGGGAGCGTGTATTTCCTGCAAATGGCAATAGGACCACTAGGAGGAGCCAGAGGAGCTTGATTTTTACACAGATTATCTGTCTCATATTCTACTGTCAGGACATAATGACAGTTTTAGCAAATACATGTTTTCAAAAGTTACCTACAGGAGCTTTAACCAGAGAGAGAGCAAGAGCAACGCCTGTCAACCCTGGCAATGTGCTTCGTTCGGGTTACGGAAGCCGTCGGCAGCGCTGTCGTTTTGTTTTTAGACCACGAAATCAGTTTGTTTGATGGTTGTGAGGGAAAGATAACCTTGTTCAGCTTCCCAAAGAACACAGTGTTATAGAAACAGTAGATCCAGTTAGTTTTTCCGAGGCAGCAACGGAGTTGTGCAAGTGTGTTTGTTTGCATTTCGGTGACAAATGTTTTATAAACAAGGCCCAGTTTGACGCTGGATTTGCAGATCGTTTGAAACCCGAAAGATGAAGAGGTTCCAACGCTAAAATATCCCAACCTTGAGTCGGAAATTCAGACGGTAAGTAACATCAAATGTCTGTGTTTTGTTGGCAATCGTGAATCTTTAGCTCCGCCCACAGCACGCCTCCAGGAGCTCGGCTGTTTTTGGAAAGAATCAGTACAGCGTATCTGTCTTTTATAAATCTGATAAAACTAAAGACTCTTCGGCGATATGAAGGATGCAATACTACTCTATAGGTACTCAAATCTAACATGAGATTGTCAGAAACTGTGTGTGTTATATCCCCTTTAAGCTTTTTCCAATGGTTGACCCTTGTATCTCCCAATAATAAGACCAGTGTTGGGGAAAGTTACTTTTAAAAGTAATGCATTACAATATTGAGTAACTCCACAAAAAGGTAACTAAATGCGATACTTACTATGGAAAGTAATGCATTACATTATTTTTCAGTTACTTTTTCTTATGCTATGGCTTGATCTCTTTCAGGCCTTGCAGGTGTTTCTTTGTAAAAAATTGTTTTTACTTTTTACTTTATTGTTTAACGCAGTAATGCAATCAACAACAGCCTATATAACCTACACCTTCATTATCTTTTAAAAACAATTATATATTGAATAATATAGAATAATATTATATTCTAACTTCCTGATGCATGCCATATAAAAGATCTATAAGCATGACAGATTATTGAAAGTAATGTGTTTGTTACTTTTGTACTTGTGGGTAGACTATGGACTGCATAAAGTAAATTCACTGTCCATTGTGATAATAAAGAGTGTAATATAGGCTAGATAATTGCCATTATGAAATAAGTTATATTAGACACAAAAGACATAGCTTAAACATTTAAAATGTTTAATAACTTATTAGAGAACAATAGGATGATACTAGAGAACAAACAACATCACCAATTAAACAAAAAATTGTCAGCTTTAAAATTTAAAAGATTTCACATGGCATGAATAAATGTATACGTTGATTCCAATAGATCAAAACTCTTGAGTTTTCTATGAAGTGTCCTCAAAACAAAATCCATTTTATCCAAAGTGATCATCCAGATCACTTCTGCAATGCAATGGGGGAAAAAAGTATTATCTTAATGTAATGCTAGAGTATTATCTTAATACTTAGAGTTTTGCGATCATGCAGCACGCCCCCTGACCTTTTCCCTGTCACAGAGATTTTGCTGATGATATTATGAAATGTGGGCACCTCCACAGTAGACAGTGGCTGGATCTCCTCAACAATAAAAGCAGCAACCAATTTGTTGAGTTCAGTCAAACTAATTGTTTTACCTGGTGGTGAACATGAACTGAAATCAAGCTTTTGTTGTTTAGCTTGAGGCAGGGTGCAGGTATCATTCGGCTCTCTCTCTCTCTCTCTCTCTCTCTCTCTCTCTCTCTCTCTCTCTCTCTCTCTCTCTCTCTCTTCCAACTCTGTAGTGCTGTGCTTTGCATGTAGATGTTAACGACTATTCCCTTCTCCTTTTCTTCGACGATTTCAAAATTATGAGAATACTTCCATCGCAGTAATGTAATGCTCTGGCCTGCCATCTCCGTTTCTGACTAGCTTCTACGTGACTACGTTCATTTTAATTCAGTACTTTAATTTTTTTGAATGCACATTAATTCAACTGAAAACTCGTATTATATTTTTTTTTAAGTAACTCAAATATTAATGTGTAATTTTATAAAGTAATGCGTTACTTTACTCGTTACTCCAGAAAAGTAATATTATTACGGTTATTTATAACGCGTTCCCCAACACTGAATAAGACCATGTCTGAAATCAAGCTTTAGACTGACCTAGATGCAGCAATGATGGAAGCATTAAGACCTCCGTAACAGGATAAAGCAACCGCAATGGGGATGGTCCAACTCATCACTCCCAGGGTGTGGTCTGCAAACGTCTGTGGGAAATATTAGCTAGCTGTTAGATTACAGACAAAACAAACATTATGACAACACAGAGGTCTATGAACTCACCACAGCAACAGCATCACTGGCAAGGATGGCACTCATGTCGAGCACAGCGTAGTAGGCCACGTTTGTGAGGATGTAGATGATCGTAACGATCGGCATGGAGATTGCAATGGAGAGGGGAAGGTTCCTGAGACACGCATGAACAGATGTGTTAGCGATCTTATCAATACCTATTTTTTTCATGCAGTATGTTCACAACAGGAACAGGAACTAAGGGTTCAGTCTGTCTCAAAGAAGTACCTTTCAGGGTTCTTAATCTCTTCTGTGACAAAGTTAAGAGTGTCCCAGCCTGAGTATGAGAAAAGAGCCGAGTACAATGCCAGAGCGATATTTCCTGGGTCACGAGACGAACCTTGAAAAGAATCCTCAAAGTTCATTGTGAAACCTGTGAGGGAAACATTACGAAAGTACTGAAAAGTTTAGTGGATCTTCAAGATTAACATGTATAACACTGAACACTTTGTATTGCGGTTTTGCTCTTATAGTGTTATTTGGATTTATATATCAAATATACAGTACTGTGCATACTTTATGCTTTTGCATGGTTATAACATGATTTTAATCATTTTGACTTTACATTTTGTATTTTTTTTAGGGTGACTTCAACATTCTGTCCAGGGACTACAAATGAAAGTCCAAACTCAGTCCTGGAGTCCTGTCCTGCAGAGTTGAGCTCCAACTTTCCTCAACACACCTGCCTGGAAGTTTCTAGTATGCCTAGTAAGACCTTAATTAGCTGGTTCAGGTGTTTAATTAGGGTTGGAGTTAAACCTTTCAGGACAGTGGCCCTCCAGGAGCAGGATTGGACACCCCTGCTTTAGACAAACTTTGCCGCATTTACAGTAATGCTTATTAGTGTGCACTGTCTCTGTTAAATAAACTAAAAAAAAAAATTATGTCATCATTTACTCACTCTACAGTTCAAACCTGTGTGCCTTTCTTTCTTCTACAGAAAACAAAATACGGCATTTTGAAGAACGCTGGTAACCAAACAGTTTTGATTACCACTGATTTCTATTGTATGAATGGAAGAGAAGGAAAACAAGAGACATTTTCAGGATCTTTTTTGTATGTTCTGCAGAAAAAAATAGTCATACAGGTCTGGACATGAGGGTAAAAAAAAAATGATGAAAGAATTTTCTTTTCTTTTTTGCTGAACTATCCCTTTAAGCTGATTCAAATCTCACAAGAAAGCAACATCTGGCTCAGACATAAACAAGTAGGCCTACAAAAACATCTTTATAAGATTGCTGATTGTGTAGAGTACATTTTTTTACCTTGGCACATTTTCACTATCCCAGTGATAATAATGACAATGAGGGCCAGCACTTTGGCGTAAGTGAAGACATCCTGCACCCTGGTACCCCACTTGACATGAGCAGAATTAATAAAGGTCAGCAGGCCTGAAACATCAAGCATAGTAAGCATGTTAGCAAAAGAATAAATATGTTGACATAATTACTCTGAAAAGTCAATTGAATGCACAATGAATGACAACAATGGTTACTACCTAAAGCCAACTGATAGGACGGCAATTAAACTATTACTACAACTTGAATGGATTAGTGGGTAGTAAAAACAAGTTTGGTGGTATTCATGGCAACCGTAATGTTTCTTTCATTTAGAAAGGCATGTCTAATGAGGCTGCTGAAGTTATCCAAGTGAAACAGGAATAAGAGGAGAGGCACCACAGAACCAGAAGAACGGGCTCCATGAACTCAAAAACAAGTTACTCATTAACTGCCCCATGACATTTTTAAAGTTAGACCTTAACGGGCCTCAGCAGCTTATCAGATCTCAGGGTGAGAAAACTAGCATGAAAAAGACATTAAGAAAGTTAAAGAATGTGAAAAACAAGGGTGCAGAGCAACAGTACGGTATGTACACCTTACTCACAGATACAGGCTGCAGCAATAAGTCGAGAAGCAGAATACGGCGGCTCGCAGCTGGGGAAGAGCGGCTGAACCAAGTAGTTGGCAAAGGTGATGGCGATAACAGCCTGACTCGTGGGTTCGATGATGAGCAGAGATGTCCACAGACGTATGAACGCTATGAAGCCTCCAAAAGACTCCAGGATGTAGGCGTAGCTAGCGCCAGATTTGGTGATTGTTGTGCCTAACTCGGCATAACAGAGAGCACCTACCACTGAAAAGATGCCACCGATGGCCCAGATAACTAGAGACAGTCCGTAGGAGGCGCTGTAGATGAGAACGCCCTTTGGCGACACAAATATGCCTGAGCCAATCATGTTACCCACGATGAGGCTGATGCCGTTCAGGAGAGAGATTTCCTTTTTGAGCTGCATGCTCTCTTTGGGTCTTGAAAGGGTTGCAGGACCCCCAGACTGGCCGTTCAGTTTTTTAGATTCAGTGTCGTCCTCCATTTTGTTCCACAGACGTACGTGTTGGTGCGCGGTGATAGAAGCGGCCCTCGTCGGCCTTATCTAATTTGACAGAGAAGACAAACCAGAAACAAGTTATAGGAACATTCTGTAATCATTTGTTTAACCAAATGTCATTCCAAACCTGCATGACTTTCTTCTGTGGAACACAAAAGAAGATATAAAAAAAAAAAAAAAAAAATACAATGTTTTTCTGTCCATACATTGAAAGTCAATGGGGAAGTGTATTGTTTACTTAAAGTTAAAACTATTAAAAATAAATTTTCTGTAATAGAAATAAAGGTGAAATAACTTAAAACATAAATTTAAAATTGGAAATGTTGCCTGACAATTACCTGAAACAAGTTTAAGTAAATACTAAAAACAAAATAAAGCTAAATAATATTAAAATACTAATAAAATGAGACAATATTAAATATTACAAAATTTTATCATTTTAATATATTAATAAAAATGACAAAAGCACATGATAAAATCATAAAACTTCAACTAAAATAAACTGAAAATATACAAATAAAGGCCTTTTTTAATATAAATACTATAAATAAAATAATTGCAATGGGCTTTGTGTTGTTTTGGACCCCACTAACTCTCAATGTATGGATAAAAATAGTTCTCCGAAGAAACATTCTTCAAAATATATTATTTTGTGTTCCACTGAAGAAAGACTTCAAAGAGTTTTGAAGACATGGTGGAGGTAAAAAAAAAAAAAGACATTGAGTATCAAAGCAATAACCCACACATAATTAAAAAGTCACATCCGGTCTCTAATGTCTAGTGATGGTGTGAAGTCAGTATAGGTCATTATGATAAGTATATTACATACGTGCAAAATGTACTGTAGCTAATTGACGAAAAGCTAGTGTGAAGATTGCATCACTAATATTACGTAAACAAGAAAGTATTTCTTCCTTCAAACATTTCACAACCCATCTCCCAATCAGAAGCTGAAAAATGATCATGATATGTACATGTTAACGTGTAAGTATAATCAGGGTCTATATGGGTTTCTAAATGAGGGAAATCACACGTTTAGTCCAGACTGTTTGTTGACCCTCTATAAATGATTGAGCACAAGATGTCCGCTGCTGTCACCTCTCCTACTGTGGAGAGCTGATAGCACATTCCTCTGATTATTTGGCTTGAACCACGTACATCAACATTTATCCTTGTAAAACGGTCATTGCACTAAGTGTGTTCGAAAACCAACAGTCCACCCTTGCTTGTCTTTCAAACTGAGGGCATATCATTTTTAATTAATATGTAATGGTAGCATGCAATTGATAAACAAGCACTGATTCAATTTTTCCCAAACTCTCCCCAGAGAGTTGTCCTTCCCTGAGGCTTGTTTCCCATCCTAGAAGAGGTTTCCCAGAACTGGAAAATTCACAAAAACATCTGCACTCATGACACATCAGTTTACAGTGGTAAAGGGCAGTCCACTGTCGTTGTCTTGGAAACTCAATGACATAATTTTAGATTTTACTTTAAATGAGCCAAGGGGCCTTGTTGTGGAAACCTGTCTTGCTTTTGATTGATGGTCTTGATGTTTTCTTCTTAATGTACACTTATCTGTTTGATACAGACTGATAAGCACAAGATATTATGTTTGAACCTCAAAGGTAAATATTTAAATGGAAGTATAAATACTGTAAGTGTGTGTTTGAATATGTGTTGTAGATCTATCTTTCGGAATATGTTTTGGAAAGACGCTCAGAAAACCGACTGTAGCCTACTGTATGTCTATCCCTCACAATTGTCATTCATGTCTAATTAAATATTGCAAATAAGGTCCACGTTGTTTGTTATTCATTTTAAGCATTTTTTTGAAGTAGTAGGCCTACCCTGCTGAAAAAACAGCCAACCAGCTTAGGCTGGTTTTGGACACTTTTTTTTTCAGCTGACCAGGCTGGTCTTAGATGATCAAGATGGGAGACCAGCTAAAACCAATTTGACCAGGCTGGCAGTCCAGCTTAAACCAGCGAAGACCAGACAACCAGCCTAGGCTGGTTTTAGCGTTATTTCAGCCGGGTTTTTTTTTTTTTTTTTTTTTTGAAACCAGTATAATTATCATAAAAACTTTTTGTTTACACAATATTCTCAAGAAATTGCTAATTTTGGCAGCACAAAAGATGGTTTTCAAAATCACTTAAAAACAACAACAACTTGGCACCCTGCGATCAAAACAAGTTAGTATTTGGCAACCCTCTTTGTTACGACAAGACGCACTTCAGTGTCGCGTTAAAGAAAAGACAGATAGGGCTCTATACAAAATAAGATATTACATAACATGTCATCAGCTAACACACTAAATAAATAAATAAATAAATAAATAAATATGCTAAACAAGTTTCTGAAACTGCATTACGAGGTATTACGAGACTTTAGCGTTGAGTGTACCCCCCCTCAAGCAAATCAGCTGTTTAACAAAACAACCGTAGCCTACAAGCGTTTTAAACGTTGTAAGTTAATGCAGTCTGACTCTGTGCTGTGTGTAATATTTGAGTGGTGGGCTAATTAATACAGCACTTATAAATCACTTGTTCAGAAAGAAAATGTCATCATAGTGAATGGCTTGAATAAAGGTAACGTTAACTGTTAAGCATTTAATAATCGATGAGATGAGACGCTACATCCTGTTTTTCTAGAGGGCAGAATATGAGACACGACCACTGCGTCATTTGAACTCATATTCCCCTCTCCGCTTTGCATTGAACATTTTGAAAACATTCAATTGGGGCGTTTAGGAGAAATGAGTCAAATGGAATTAAAACGGGATTGTTGTTTTTTGCCGATTTAACATAACCTGTTCAGTCCTTCTTATTCTTTAACGTTAAGCGTAAAGTTAAAAACACAAATATGTTCTTACCTTGTCGTGTCCTTTCTTTATCGTCTTTGTCTAACTGGTGACATTAGCAGACACAGCAGCATCTTTAACTACAGCAGAGCAGAATCAGATACACCAAGGCAAGCTGCCAAAGAAAGTCACGTGATACCGGTAAAATTGATGTCACGTGGGAGGGTTGCAAATCAGACAGATCAACCAGAGATCAACCCAGCTTGTAAGCGAGCCCATTCAGGTGCTGTCCTGCAGCCAAAAGCGAACCATTTAAAAAGTAATGTTTTCTTGTGTGTGTGTGTGTGTGTGTGTGTGTGTGTGTGTGTGTGTGTGTGTGTGTGTGTGTGTGTGTGTGTGTGTGTGTGTGTGTGTGTGTGTGTGTGTGTGTGTGTGTGTGTGTGTGTGTTTAAGTGGTTTCTGATTAACGCTGTTTCACACCTGATACATTTAATGTCTTTGAAGCAAAACCTTATTTCTCACTTTAAAGCAGAGGAAAGGATATAAAAGAATAAACAAACCTAATGATTCTTTTAATTATTATTATAGATTATAAATTATATTTATAATCTAAATCAAACGTTATAAATAGTTCTGTTCTGTGTCACCGATTGTCGAAATTGATCAAGAATTCATCCTAATATGCTGAAATCAATTTCTAATATACTGATTTGATGCTGCAGTAAGATTTCTTATTATTATCGATGTTGGAAACAGTTGTGCTGCATAACATTTTTCTGGAAACCGATTTTTTTTTTTTTTTTTTTTTTTTTTTGCAGGATTCTTTGATGAATAAAACGTTCAATGGGACATAATTTATTTGAAATATATATATTTTAATATTTTAAATGCATTTACTGTCACTTTTGTTCAATTTAATGCATACTTTCTTAATAAACGTATTAATTTCTTGCAACAACAACATTAAAAAATCAGCCCACCCCAAACTTTTGAATGGTATTTATAAGTTATAATGTATATAAGCATATTTGTATAAGGGAATGGGTATTTTAGGTCCTGTGAATGGTTACCATTACTTTTAATCACATTTTACCTTCACTACTTCATTTTAAATTGCCCTGCGGTGTGAAAAAAATATGTTGTACTTAGCAATACAAAAGCTGATGTGGTTTAAAAAATGTGGTTTATTTTGTGAGCATGTAGCATTCATTCATTTCATGTCAAAGAGATTTCACATCTCATTTTGTAATGTTTGTAAAGGCCCCTATAGCAAGGTCCATTCATGCCCTTCAGCGTAAAGACCATCCATGCAATTAGATAGTCTGTGAGGAGGTATGTGGCATGGTATTGACATGAGTAATACCAAGTAATAACTGTTCTCCAAGAAGTGGATCTAACATATGAGTTCATGTGAAATGCTGAAGGGACACATACTGTTAAACGGTGGTAAAGACACAACAGATCACAAAACAGTGTGAAAATAATTCTTATACCATATCTGTTTTTTTCCATACATGAATACTTTATTCATTTTCTTGCTTTATACATTCCGTGCTACATACATAGAGCACCAACCAATATTATTAAATGCTTTTAAAAATAATGTCTTGTTGCAAGATACACTACAATCAGAAACTACTGCGTTTTTCTGTTGTGCAACATGCACAAATTTAAGTCTAACATCAAAAACACGCAACCTTGAAAATGTGTAGTACACACACAAAAACTCAAGATAAATGTGGTTATAGAAAGAAACTTAAAATATTTGATGAATCTATCAAAAGAATATGATATATCAGGCTGAAACAACTGTTTCAATATTAACAGGAACTGAGTGTGAAAGTTATTAAGCTGTTAAGAATGATTAAGGAAAATAGCCTTACCTTTCACAAAAGTTCCTTTGAAAATAATCCGTTTTTTTCTCTTCTAAGGAATGTAATCAAATCTGTAATTGCCCATTCATCAGAACATGATAATGTTCAAAGTCATTTGAATAATCCCTTCAGTTTGTGAACTGGGAAACAATGAGATCATCAATACCCTTTACATTGGGTGTTAATTTGATGATATTTTTTGATTAAAAAGAATAAAACTGCATGGCAGCATTCACTTCCAGAGGATCTGACCTCTCTTCATCTCTTACAGACTTGTCTAAATAAGAACACAATAACAATCTCAACATATTCATGACACATTATACTGGCAAACAAATCTAATCTAATGATCAATTGTTTTGTGTGCAGTTACTGTATTACAACACTAATGTAAAGGCATTTTTGATCAAATTTAACCAGACTGCCACCTCTGGGCGGTTTGAGTATTTTCAGTGGATACTAAACCTAAAGTTGTGGCCACCAAGATAGCAACATTTTCACCAAGACAGGCACAGATATCAAGCAAACAGCGCGTGCGTGCGGTCAAGGTCAAGGTCGAAGTGATGATCTCATACGTCTCACGGGTCACAGCATGTCTAGCACGTAACACGTCAAGTAGGTTGTTGAGTCGTCCTTCAGTCATGCAGCGAACAATGGCCTCTCGTCTCTCTTGCAGAAGCCCGCAACACCTCCTTCCCACTGACAGTTCATATTTAACTAGAGAAAGAAGAAGCATTAGAGTGTAGTCAATGGTGTTTTCATGAATCTTTTCAATTCTGCAAGAATATTGCAAATTTAGCAAGAATGAACATACTTCGCAGACAAATCAAGTCACTTTTATTTATATAGCGCTTATACAATACAGATTGTTTCAAAGCAGCTTTAGAGTGATAAACAGGAAAATAACGATTCAATGATGCAAACAGAGTTCAATTCTGCTGTGATAAAAATCAAAAAAGAGAATAGCAAACATTCATTATTCAGATGAAATCAGTTCATTTAATCTATAAAGCAGCTCTGGAGAAAACAATGATGTCATCATCCAGCTCAGTTCAGTTCTCATCCAATAGCGTCAGAGCAGTCAAATCAATAATATTGCTGAATATTACGTGTCCCCAACTAAGAAAGCCAAAGGCAACAGTGGCAAAGAACCCAAACTCCATCGGGTGAGAAATGGAGAAAAAAACCTTGGGAGAAATTAGGTTCAGTCGGGGGACCGGTTCTCCTCTACCCAAATAAAAAGATACACTAAATATATTAAAATGAATACTTCTATTAAGCAAGGATGCATTAAATTGATCAGAAAGTGACATTAAAGACATTTATCATGTTAAAAAATATATTTTAAATTCATCAAATACACATGAAATAAAAAAAAAGTATTACAGGTTCCACAAAAATATTAAGCAGCACAACTGTTTTCAACTGTGATAATAATGAGAAATGTTTCATCAAATCATCATAATAGAATGATTTCTGAAGGATCATGTGACACTGAAGACTGGAGTAATGATGTTGAAAATTAATCTTTGGCATCACAGGAATAAATCCCATTTTTAAATATATTGAAATAGGAAACAGTTTAAATTGTAATAATATGACATAAATAATATATATCATAATATAAATAATGTAAATGCAGCCTTTGTGAAACTTCTTTCAAAAACATTTTAAAAATCTTACAAACTTTTCAACGGTAGTGTATTTTTTAAATTGCCTCAACTCTTAACCAGTTACTTCACTGCGACAACACCTTCTATACTACTTACTGTACATTTAAATGAACAAAACAAGACTAATTCTGAGAAAAACAAAAACCCTCTGGAGAGGAAACACACTGGACACAGATAAGGCATTAGTGGGGCGGTCATTCAGGAAGCGAGCGAGTCCCACAGAACTGCTTACTGCGCACATGTAAACGCACAACACAAACAAGAACTGATACATTTGCTCTGTCCAAGTAGTTATGCCAACAGTATGTACACAAAATGTACACAAAGCTCCTCCAGATTTATTCAGCTAAAATACATCAGGCAATTGAGACTGACAGAGAGCAGAGCTTTTTCCAGATGGATTAAAGTATGCAACAATGGCATGTTTATGTTTGTGGTCCAAACTCATTTGTTGGAAATGTGCAGGACAGGAATGGAGGGAATTAAAGAGATTCAAACAAAATGACTGTTAGGACATTTTAGAGACAGAACTAATTGCTTACCTTGGTTGCCAGCGTTGTGTTGTGGGGTGCTCTGAAACAGCGTTGAAGAGGAAACACATGGGGACCTTAAAGATGTGGGACTTTGTCTATGGGAAATTCCACAACGCCGATTAATCTGAATGAGACCACGATTACTGCAGGAGTTACTGGACTGGACTGAACTTTTTCCAGTATCTATGAAGACATGAGCAGGGAAAATGTAATTATAAGACACTTTACTAATAAAGTGAGAAATTGTATCCAAAATACTATTAAATGAGTGGTCACTAACCCCTAAAGCATCCAATCTGAGGAACATCTCTTGTTGCCAATGGCGGAGAGGACTTTCCTTTTGCCTTCAGTGAAGATACTGGCAGAGATTCATTCTGTGGAATCACTTTGGAGGTCCATTTTTTTGTGGGACCACTGCAACTATTGTCCTGTTGGTGGTAAAAGACATTCAACGGTCAAAGGCATGGCCGTACCAACCATTGAGATGAGGTGTATAATTAAAGTCATTAAATAACTGCCGAACAATAACTGTACTTAGGTGCGGCAAAAATGTTCTACAACACAAAGATAACCAACTTTCTAATTTATGCTGATCAGCAGTGTGACAGCACAAGTCAATGTCAAAATGACAGAGATACCCAATCAAATTAGAAAGACTAACATGGTTTTAAAGCAATTGCTGTTAAATCTTTGCCCTTCAGACATCTTAAAATGCACAAATGTAGATAAAGTAAAAAAAATTCCCAGGGGCCCCGAACACCCCAAGCAAGTTTTTGGAACTCTGTTTTTCTAAAATCCTGTGTTTGGCCATTGCTGTAAGAAGTGTTATATTTGCACATAATTTATAATGAACACACACAATACAAAATATAGCATTGGACTGAGTACCTGTTCAACAATCCCACATTCTAATTTAAAAAAGAGAGAATAGTTCTACACCAAATCAAGTCAAACTTTGTCTTACCTCTAGGTTATGTAGTTCAATAGGCAACTCCCAGGATGAGCGCCTTTTACAGCTCAGTAGCCCCCTCTCCTGGAGAAACAGACAGATACACAGGCAACAAATGATCATTACCACCTAATAAATACACAATCGGTCAAATTCTTCACATCTGCATTAAAATAAATTTGAATTTAAACAATATAATATTCAACACAAAGTGGGGTTCACAAATCTCAGACTACTAGTAAAATGCTCATCACTGAATACTTCTGAAAAGTTGATTAGAAATGTTTAGAATGTTTTAGTACTCAGTTTGCTTTATAGTCCAGTCATTTTAAGCCAAAATGGGGGTCAACCTAGAACAAATTGCAACTCAACTGATTTTGTATCCTCAATATGTCCTGAGTAAGGAAAAAAAGCCCTGAAGAATCCCATTAGGGGAAGTTTGAAAAAGACCCAAATATAGCCTATTCATACGCCTATTCATTCTTTTTCTCACGTGAATAGGATAAAAATTTGAACCTTTAGATATCATCATGAAAATTACTGAGTTGATTACTTACATCAAGACAAACAAAAAATGTATTTATTTTCTTTAAAAAGTTTTTTTTAATTGTTTGTTAACATGGGCAAACGGTGCATAATCTAATTACATATGTGCTAATTTGCATAAATAACACAACATATCTAAACATTGGATATAGCCAGGTGAAAATGTCTTGTTGAATCTTGTTGACATCTTACAGTAAAAGACTATAGAGCCAAACAAATGTCACCATAAGGGGCATAGATTCAGTCATTCATTCAAGGTCCACTCAACTGTCACTAAGCTGTCACTCAGGTAAGAAAGATTTCCTTTTGTTTCTCCTGCATGGATTAATTTGATTGTTTGATCCAGACCCTTTTTATTTGACCTACCTTTTGTCTTCTGCATTCTCCTTACCCGTGTCTCCTGTTCTTCCCTCAGACTCATCCCCCAGAAACAGTCCCACGGACTCAGCCCCAAACCCCATCTCTGCAATAATAATAATTAATAAAGGCTGGTTTCTAAAGTAGCCTACTTCTTCCAGCTTCTTTGTATTGATGCTCATGGGTAGCCTAAATGGGTTCCATTCACCTTAACATTAAGTATTTTACTGTTATATGTCAACAGGATTCAACAAGACATTTTCACCTGGCTATACCCAATGTTTAGATATGTTGTGGTATTTATGCAAATTAGCACATATGTAATTAGATTATGCACTGTTTGCCCATGTTAACAAACAATTTCAAAAAACGTGTAATACATTTTTTGTTTGTCTTGATGCAAGTAATCAACTCAATAATTTTCATGATGATATCTAAAGGTTTACATTTTTACCCTATTCACGTGAGAAAAATAATGAATAGGCGTATGAATAGGCTATTTTTGGGTCTTTTCAAACTTTCCCCTAATGGGATTCTTCGGGGCTTTTTTTTTTCCTAACTCATGACATATTGCAGATACAAAATCAGTTGAGTTTGCTTCTGTTGCAATTTGTTCAACCTTTTTTCATAAAATGACTGGACTATTAATCACAGCAGCAGCACTCGAGCTGAATGAACGACACAAGTTTTTGTAAAACCTGATGATCTCCAGCATAGCATTTGAGAATGAAAGAGCATCTTGAGCTTCAATGGAATCAAGAACATCTGACCATTCGGAAAAAGTATATCATGTTTATACAATTTGCTTATTGGATTAGTGACCAGGAAATCTTAATGTGTTTTCTTTGTTTTAAATATTTCCTTTAAGTCACCATGGAATTAAAAAGGATAATTCATATTTTTTATAGAATATTGCAGTGTTTATTATGACCGATTTATCCGTGCACATCATTATTATTTTTAATTAATGTGCCTTCATAATCTTTGATCTCAAACAATAACTTCCCTTCTAGTAATCCCTATTAGCAAACGGCAAACATCAAATCAATTC